TAAATATTAACAACAATGTACGATCCGGCGCATCTACGCCAAGCTATGCGTTATCGGTACCACAAGCTGACACCACAAACAGATTGCCGATGGGTACAGACGATGGGGGATAACGCCTGACAAGACCAAGGATTTGGTCGTGGTCAAGATCCTCTCCTCGCCCGAAACACTATCCGATGTTGAGCAACAAAAGGAAGCCGAGGAAGTCTGGGCACATTTAACAGCACAGATTGAGGGACGGCCAGTGGGATTAATAGACGGCGAAATCGCACAGGTTACAGACTGGCAAAAGGTCAGGAAATATTACAAGCTAAATGGAGTCCCAGTCTTGGACCAGATGAAGGATGACACGGAAAAGAGGAAAAGAACGGAAAGTCTTGCTATCATGGGCATGGCACTGCGCGGACTGTAGGGAGGCAAGGAAATGATACCCAATCGTTCATCAATCATGATCATTATCTCGCTATCTGACCCCACTCTAGGTCATGTTCATGTCTTCATTGCCCATAGGAAAAGAAGAAAACGCCAGTGTACAAGGTATTGATAATTACAGAAATCAAGCAAATCCAAACAACGACTTCAGTCTCCTCAAGATCTCCGCTCTCATGGCGTCTCTTGAGCCAACCGTGCGCTGCACCGCATCTCTATTCTCGTACGCCCGCCTCAGCAGGTACTTCATACATTCTCCTGTTGACCCCCACACCAGGTATTTGTATGCTTTTGCCTTTTCCAGCTTCTCAGCCGCTCCTTGCTTGTTACAAGCAACAAGCTCACAGCTGACCTCATCCGCCATCCCCTGTAGCTGCGCAAATGCCACATCGCTGGTCTTTCCTTCGTGCTGTAGAATCCTCTTCGCCTTGACCACGGAATCTCTGTTGTGCGTCGCCACCACCACGGCCACCTCTGGGATTTCACCCTCACCCTCCAACGGCTCGACTTGCCAATCCCTTTTGAGAAGCGCCTCCGCAATGCCGTCGTATGCCCTGTCTGTGTCTTCCTTGGTATCGTGTATCAGCTGCCTTGGGTCGCTCCCTAGATACGCGCCCCTGACCAGCTTGACGCCCAACACGAACCCTTTGTCCTTGGCTTCTTGCAAATGTCGACTGAGCGTCTCCGGTGTGGACTTTAGATAAGCCTGATATGTCCCGTACACCACCAGCTGGGTCCGGTTGTACCTCTCCATAAACTCCATCGTCCACTTGTCGATTCCGCCCTGAACGGCAGCCTGCTCAGCGTCGAATAGTAACCTGACCCCCCTTGCCTGGGCCAGCACACATATGCTCTCGATCGCCATCTTGAGCTTTGGTGACGGATCCGCCCCCTGCCGGAGACACCGCAGCGCCAGCACGCCCGCTCCAGTAAACTTGAGCGCCACGTAATCTCCCCTGCTCGCGAGCAGCACAGTCATGAGCGTCCCTTGGGCCCAGCTGTCAATCTCTTCCGCGTCGGCCTTAGTCTCTTTTAAGTGTATCTTGGATACGGAGCCGGCTCCCTCTTGCCCGTGCGGAGCAACCACCTCTTTGGCGTACCCTAGTATCACGCCTTCAAACCCCGCGTCTTTGAGACCCTTAATCGTCCTCGTCACCTCCGTAGGCTGTTCGCCAGCGCAAAACTGAGCATAAAACGTCTTTTTCAACAGACCACGCAGCAGAGGGTTGGAATCCGGGTTTAGCATTGGGTTGTTTGTGTGGGCTAGCATGGACATGATGGCTAGCGAGGGAGGGAGCAGGAATGGCGAGGAGGAGATGGTGGCTGTCATCCATGACCTGAGCACGGTGACCAAAGGAAGGACTGAAAGAGGTGCGGGTTTTGGTGGTCCCATGTCAGTGCCCTGTGGTTGTCGGTGATGTTGCTGATGGTTGGGCAGTAACGACGACGGTGATACCCCTGGTAGTGTCAGGTTGCTGGACGGCGCTGAATGTGTAGAAGAAGAGTGCAGTGATCGAGTTGATGTTGATGATAGTGATGTCGACGTCGAGACGGGTGATGTCGATGTAGACGACGCCTCCCTAGTAGGAATCAATATGATATTATACCGTCTGCACCGAGCAAGGGAAGCTGCTTGTCCGTTGGCATTGATGGCAGTAATCGCCCGTCGCTTGGACATGCTCCGCGGCAGAAACATGCCAGGCAGAGGTCTGGGGAGCGATGCCATGGTCGCCGGCCCGCAAGAGATGCTATGGCTGATGTGTCGCAAGCAAGATGGTCTCAATGACGCAAACAGGAAAAGCACCAACGAGTTAAGATAAAACCAAAAGTCAATTGATGTCCAGGTTACGCTACGGTCACCTTATATCAGAGACAAGCTCCCCGGTATCGCACATGCAGTGATGCACTGCAGCCAGGTTTCCATTTGAGTTTCGATAGTGGTTCATTCCAGAGCCGACAAATCCCTTCTGATACCCCTCGACTTTTTCTGCAATCGCTGATTTGCCGTTGGACTTCAGACGCCTCCTTTGTCAAGCTTTCCGTTCGCTGCAAGCCATGATGTTATCGTCGGTCCCTTATCAACCGGCCCCCCCACACCTACCAAAGGCCGCCGGTAGCCGTAAATGCGGGCGACTGTGGGGAAAGGGACCTCTGCCGTCATCGACGAATTGGCCCCACTCCTCTGGCTCACACGAGTCTCGATTCATTCCAGACGCTCTCCCAGTTCTGCCAAGCTCCTTAGTGCTGCTGAGTGCCCCTGTGAGCCGCTTTCCGTGACCCCTGAAGAGCCCCCGGCTTTCTCACCGCGGCCGTCCTAAGCAGCGCCATCCCCATGACAAAACCCACGCCAGCGGCTTCGGAGAGCGGTTGCTATCGGCGCTGTGGCAGGACGACGTTAATCCCAACTATCCGTATCCAGTGGCCAGCCGCGCCAATTGAGGAGAATGACCGGGTCATGTGGTTTCGTGGTGCACCGTAGGCATGCAGCCGGGTGATCCCTTCCCCGACAAGGGCCGAAGCGGGAGTGCCCTTCTCGAGGTGGTGTGTCGAAAACCTGCCGCCCCTTTCTGTGTGTAATATCTGTATATAGGTGGCTGGCCCCGCGACCAGCGCCGTGGCGGATGCCGCTCGTACAATAATGTCCATGTTTGTACTCATGCCGTTTGCTTCAATGTCCTGATCTTTCGCTTGATGTACTCGACATATTGGAGACGTCGGCCCCTCTTGGTCGCCAGGAGATCTTGTACTCCGCCGTAGACAGTGCCGACAACAAGGGCCGTCTTGGTGGTTCGAGCAGCGAGGGGCAAGGAGTAACGGTCTACAACAGGCAGCTTGTCAGTATCCTTTCACAATCTTCACAGCCACCCACAGGATTATTCCCAAGTCCAAAAAAACATACTCCAGAGGCTAAAGACTCCTGCACAAGTCACCATGGACGTCACGGTGTTGATCAGATCGGCAGTGCCACGATATTCGTCAAACATGTGTTCAATGGCAAACACAGCCGTGGTCCAGACGCCAATCTTTGTTCCCATCTTTAGTCCCTCACGTAGTCCTCCGCGAGCTGCGATGTAGTTCTTGCTCTTGTGGTAGAGATACCAGCCAGTGGCGGTCGAGGGTAATTTGTGGGCGTGCTCGGCGCGGAACTGGAGACTGGTGAGCTTGCTGCCGTGCCCTGCTCCAACAAGGAAGCCCGTGCCAAAGGACAGCATTGTAGCAAGTGGGAGTCGAATCATAGGGGGCATAGACAGGCGCGAGGAGAGGTAAAATGCTTCGATTTCTTCTTTGCTGGGCTTTCGATAGCCGACGGGAACGTCGTCTTGCTGTTTGGCGTGGGCCGGGATCGGGGCGTGGGCCACGGGGGCAGACTGGGAATGGCTATCCATAATGTACTATATCTCCTCGAATTCGTTTGTCGTCTGGTGTTGCTTTCCAGTGTTGTCAAACGTTGAGCTCTGCGCAGAAGAGGCAGCTGCAGCACCATCGATCTGCCAGGTGATGGATTGAAAATGTCAGAGGTCCAAGCTCCCCACCCCACCTTCTGTTTGCCCCCAGAATCAGGCTGCTTGGCAACCTGCCCCACACCTGCTCTCACCACACCTTCATTTCAGCCAGGATCAGGAGCTCTCAGTGTTGTGCCAACTTATCGACTGGCTTTACACGTCACTGTCAAGATGGTATGTGGCCATTGTCGCGGAGTTGTTGTGTTGTGAAGCTGACACAATATTGACAGCCTCCACGTTCCGCTGCCGTCATCGACGACTCGCCCACAGCGCTCACAGTCATTCTTAAGCACGGCATTACTAGCGTTTTCCTGTTTGCGTCTCCGTCGTGGACATTTGAGAAGCTCTCTACCGACCTCCTTGAAGTCTTGCGTGACCGGTACCCAGATGGTCTGGCAACATCGACCGACGAAGAATCCACTATCACACCCATTCCAGCTGAAAACAGCGATGTGAAAGTCGTGTTTGGCACGCCTAGAGATGCCGACGATTACACAAAGGGGTTCAAGAAGTTTGATGTGGGGCCGAAGGACACTTTGGGCAAGAAGGGCCTGAAGAAAGTCAGCACTCTTGCGTTTGCGCTGCTGGGACCAGATCAGGATGAGGATAGGTTGGTCAAGTTCGAGGTCGCCTTCCCAGTCAACGATGTTGAGGCTTGAAGTTAGATGTTATCCATCACGATAGGAGGCAGAGGGTCTGAAAACATTCACACAGGTTTGGCGTTACTTAGCCGGTGTTGGGACCGGATCTGCATCGATACTATGGCGTTTGGTGTTTCCTAGGTCAAAGGGGGAGAAGGTACGAAGTGTTTGCTATCAAAATAACGGCTTTGCTGTACGCATGGAGCATTGATTCTGAGCTTTCTGGTATTGCAATTGAGATTAGAGATTTCGCTCCCTGAACTGCAGGATGATACTTTTCATAATACCGGATCCTGGCGCGGCTGTTACGATGTCAAATAAATGGGCTCTGCCGTCCAACTCACAATACAAAAAATACATCACATCAGTTGCAATTGCAGTCACCAACATGTCTTGAGTTCAGCAAGTAGAAAACAGCAAAAGGTTGAGGTCGTGCCCGGGTTCGAACCGGGGTTACTGGAAAGTTTGATTGAGAGATATCATCAAAATCCAGAGTGATAACCACTACACTACACAACCTTAGATGTCAGCAGTAGTATAAACTTAGGCTTATGAATACTAGGTGTCACTGTTTAAGAGATCCACCTTGACACTAGAATCCTAGGTTCAATCAGACTTGGATCTTGGATACTTTAATTTTTGGTCTCTCCATCTTGACTTTATACAAACCAAAGACAATAAATGACAGAATGACCTCAGTGTGCAGAGCGTCTCAGTGCTAAAATTAGGCGGTGCAGGCCCAGTCTACCAGGCGCTCGGGACAGTTTCCAGTGGCAGTCAGGAAGAAGACACTCCGCTCTCGGCAGACAAGGCGTCCACTTGCTCCAACACTCTGATCAGCAACCATTCAGCAACCAAACGAGGCGCGACCACAACGGCCACATTACCGTTGCGGTTCTTGTCTGCAACTATTCACAATGCCATCATAGCTCCTAGTTGCGCGCGCAACAGTAACCGTTAAAGATGGAGCCAAATCCACTCGTGCTACGGGCTGATGGTACATCTTCTCTTCTCCCAATGTTCCTGGGGTTCCTTTTGCCCCAGCGACAAGGCAGCCATCAACTAACACTGACAATCTAGAATGGTCCCGAATCTCAACCTCCCTCCTCCACGCCGAACTATCCCGACGCGACGGCACTGGGGACAGCCAACGACCAGCCTGTGGCTCCGGCAAAAATAACCATGGCTACGACACCCCCCTTCACGTCTTTGCCCTGTTCCTGATCCTCACCATCAGCACACTCGCCTGTGCCTTCCCGCTCTTTTCTCAGCGAGTAACGAAGCCGGGGAAACGACAAAAGAATATTCTGTTTGTGTGCCAGCATTTTGGCACTGGCGTCTTGATGGCCACGGCGTTTGTGCACCTGATGCCCACCGCCTTTGTGTCCTTGACGGATCCCTGCTTGCCTCACGCTTTTAGCAAGGGGTACCGGCCATTAGCAGGGTTAATAGCCATGATTGCTGCGTTTGTGGTTGTGGTGATTGAGTCGATCCTGTCGAGCCGAGGCGCCGGGCACAGTCACTCGCATTCCTGGGACGACGAGGGTTCAGAGGAAGGACATGAAGAGGCAACGCACACGCAGACACACGGACACGCCGGACATTCGAGAACCCTAGACATAGCTATGGACGATCTTGAAGGGGCTGGAGAGCACCAGGGCTTGGTTTCTGGAGCGTCGCCTCTCCCTGGAGGCACTCCCCTCATGCACGCCAAGTCGCGTGATAGCAGAGACTCGTTTGTAAGGGAAAGGGAGTCTTTGGAGCTGGAGCTCAGTTTGGATGAGTTTGGTGGCAATGGACAGGGCGGATCGGTGCGGCTCCTGGCTACATCGAAACCATTGCCCGCTCTTCCTCCACATGCGCACAGCGGGCATCATCACCAAGGACCTCCAAATGCAGAGGAGCAGCAGCGTATGATGCTCCAGTGCGTCCTCTTAGAAGCTGGGATCTTGTTTCACAGCGTGTTTATCGGTATGGCTTTATCTGTGGCCACAGGCCCAACGTTTGCCGTTTTCCTTCTGGCCATCTCCTTTCACCGTATGGGCTCCCCTTTTCCCACTTTTCTGACCCGAGAGAGAATGCTGACAATGACAACAGAATCTTTCGAAGGACTTGCCTTGGGGACACGCATCGCAGCCCTCCACTTTCCCAAATCCTCACCTCGTCCGTGGCTGATGGTCTTGGCGTTTGGCCTAACCACTCCAATTGGTCAAGCCATTGGGTTGTTTGTCCACAGATTCTACGACCCCATGAGCCAGACAGGTTTGCTTATGGTGGGCTTTATGAATGCCATCTCTGCCGGCCTGCTACTGTTTGCGGGACTTGTCCAGCTTCTCGCAGAAGATTTCTTGAGCGAGAAGAGCTACAAGACGCTGACAGGGAGGAAAAGAGTGAACGCCTTCCTGGCAGTGGCCGGAGGGGCAAGCTTGATGAGCCTGGTAGGGGCTTTTGCTTAATACTGATCTTCATTGTACCATATAGACATATATATTAATGACATACTCCTGTATATACACGTTCCGATTCACATCTTTGTTCCAGCCATCACGACCGTTTGTTTTGCACATACTGTGTGAACGTGGCCCTGGTGTTCTTGCCGAAATCCAGCGCGTTGCTAAACATGCCTTGGTTGTTGTGCACAGGGAAGCTACCAGACGGATTCGAGGGCTGGGGCACGGCGGTACGGCTGATGGCCCAGGCAAAGGTTGACGCGCTGCCGGCTTGGGTCTCGAGGCGCCCGCCGTTTTGCTGGCTGTTCCATTTGCTGCAGCCCGTGCAGACAACCTCGACGGTCCAATGCGTCGAGTTGCGCACTGTGGAGAGGGTGCGGAGGGTGGCACTGCTGTAGATGCCAGGAGTCGTGCGACCACTTTGATTGGGTCAGCCCTTGGACTTATATCGAACACAAAGGGAGAGAGATACATACGCGCTCCACCTCGACGACACAGACACTTGACCCGAATTTCCATTCGGCCACGCGACCGTGAGCGGGTTGTTGGTCATCCCGCCGCCCCAAGCAAAGCCGACCCATGTCTGGGTGATGGGGGAGATAATCTGGAGGATGGTGTCGTACGCGGCATTGTTGGTCGCGTCAGAGGGCAGGGCGATGCGAAAGGTGGGCGCCGTGGCGGAGATATAATACTGCAGGAAGCAGAGACTTGGCACGTTGCCGGATGCGGTGGAGCAGTATTTGGACGTGACGCCGTAGACTTGCCGTGGCTCTATCTCGGACAAAGAAGAGCTGGAGGGGGGAGAAAAAGAAGACAGAGGGGAGGAGGCGGCCAACAATGGCGCGGAGAACAGGGCGATGAGCGATGACAGGTGCATGGTGATTGATGGCTCCGGGGTAATTCAGGGGTACTTGTCTTGGTGCACTGCAAAAAGTCAAAGTCAGAGGGAAAGGCTTGGATTTTATCGTCTTACTTCTGTCTGCTATTCCCTTTCTTTCTCAAAATGTTTCTGAGTTTACGTATCTCACGTCGATGATCCGTCGTTCATGGGTACTTTTCCGGGTAAACTCTATATGAGGCATCCCCCTTGCCATCCATGTATTGTATAAAGTATTTGCACTGATCAACTCCTCCAACTTTCGTCGAGCGGCAAGTGGTCGGCAGCAAATCAGAGATCCCGTTGCACAAATCAAGTCATCCCGGCCGGTGGGCGAACAACAGCCTGAAGGACCTTTGTTACCCTCACCACGCTGTGTCCTTTGAGCTCACCCTCCGAGATGTAACCCCCCTGAAGGGCCTTTTCTTTGATTTGAAATAATGTTTACTATGATCCAATCAATCAGCAGTGTTTGAAAACAGGCAGAAAAATCTAGAACGGAGTCAACACCAAGCAGGGAAGGTCGTAAAAGCAGACACATAAATAACAAGAGCTTCCTTCACTCATCAGTATTGAACATCCTATGGAGGCTATTACCCCTCACAACAAAAGTGACCATACATCCTCCTCTCGTTCCGAGCACGCGTCTAAATAATCTCCTTTTGCTCGACCTTTGTGTCCTTCTCGGATGCCTCGCGGACGTCTTCTCCATCAACCGAAGCCTTTTCTTTGGCATCGGTCATACCAAACAGCTGATCCATGGCCTCGAGCGAGATACCCTTGGTTTCTGGGATGAAGAACCACACAAACACAAACATGGAAAAGCAGAAGCTGCCAAAGATGAGATACGTTCTATCACAGTGGTTAGCATTGATGTCTAGTCATTAATGATTACAAGGAAGACATACCCGTAACCATCACTACCGACAGTAACCAACATTGTTGGCACAGCACGGGCGACAACAAAGTTAAAGAGCCATTGAGTGGCAGCAGCGTATGAGACATTGAGAGACCGAAGGCGAGCGGCCGGAATTTCGGATGCGTAAATCCAGCAAGCCGGGCCCCATCCGAATTGGAAAAATCTATCAATTCGTGTTAGCTCATTTGATCTGTAGGGAACAAGACAGCAAGGGTAAGGTACGTACGCAGCAAACAAAAATATGGACACGAGCGCAAAGTAGCCAGCTGGCGGGACATCCTGACCAGCCTTGGGCGGCGAAATGCGTACATACAAGCCAATGTAAAACATAGCCAAGCCCTGAGCAATACTCGTCCACAACAGCGACCGTCTGCGGCCAAGCGAGTCGGCCATAAAGAGCAAGAAGCAGATGCAGCTGACAACCTTGACAATACCATAGATACCGGTGCTGAAAAGTGAAGTCGAGGTTCCGGTCAAACCAAGGTTTTGGAAAATGGTTGGTGCGTAGGTATTGATGGCGTTGGTGCCCGTCATTTGCTGACAGATCATCAAGGTGATGCTAATGAGCACGCGCTTGCGGTTGCCAGGGATTGTCCACATCTCTCTCTGCAGGTTCCAAAAAGTGGCATTTCCAATAAGCCGTCGCTCGTGCTCTAACTGATCAACGATTTCCTGGAACTCGTCCTGAATGTAGGGGTGCGTAGGTGGCAGGTTGCGGATGTTGGACAGGATGCGCTTGCAGTCCTCCCATCTGTCTTGTCGCGCCAGCCACCGGGGCGACTCGTGGCAGAGGAGCATGCAGCCGCATAGGAGCGCGGCAGGCAGGGCCTGAATGGCGAGTGGGAAAATGTACATGATCGCGGTGTTCGGAAAGTGAATCGAGACCGAATAGTTGATCCAAAAGGCAATCATGCCTCCCGTGACAATGAACAACTGGTACAGGCCGGTAAGAAGTCCGCGAATGGCGCGTGGTGAGTTCTCAGACACATAAATCGGGTTCACGGCCGAAGCAGCACCAACACCCACACCAGCGACGAATCGACCGACGTACATGGCCGCCAGCTTCCCGGAGGCAGCAGCTTGCATGATGACGCCCATGATAATAACCAGGGAGACTCCAATAAGGCACCATTTGCGGCCGAAACGATCAGTCAGGGGCGAAGCGAGGAGAGCACCGAGGAAACAACCGGCTTGGAGAGTAGATACGATGTTGGCAGCGAGATTGGCAGTAGCGACGGAATTGCGATCACCGAGGCCGAAATCTTGGACGAAA